TGAATCAAAATCCCACAACTGTAATCTTGTATTGATTTACAGAGAGAAATAGCGAGTGAGCGAGAGAGAGAGACAGACAGACAGGAAGAGAAAGAGAGGAATTCTATTTCACATAGTCAAAGAATATTCAATCTGCAATTAAATAAGATTCGATGGCAATAATTTGTGCCTGCATGCATTAGAATAATCATATTATATCCGGGACTATACCTTATTATTAACTTTATTTTTTAAATTAATTGAGGCTTTCAAACGCAACAATGCCAGACTTACACCCAATGCACTCTCATTTCATGCTTTCAATACAGCAGCTAATATTGTATTATAATTTCCATTATCAACCAATCAAAGACAGTCAACATTGTCTGGTGCAATACTTTTGTATGCTTCATTGAATTTTAATTTTAACCTGCGTCAGTAACAAGGTAAGACTAAAAGATCTGTGCACTCCTGCATGCACATGACAAGGTAGTTCACAAATACTGAGATTTCTTAATAAGTGTGAATTAACACAAAGAACAAACACTACGTTCCCAAAATATTTTTTTAATTATTTGAAATACATGGAAATCCATAAGCGGGTAAATCAGAATCGTATTCGATTTCACGATTTACTGAAACTGACAATGTATTGATTTGTTTTATAGTGAAACGTGAATAAAGAAAGTATTGCTTGTATCCACAGAATTGATTAGACGTTGCGGTTTGCTCAAATCATTGAATTAGGCTGGTTATATCAATAAAGAACCGTGAGATTCAGGAATGTAAAAGGTACTAGATTGCAAATGGTGGCATTCGATAGTGCAACATAAATAAATCACGAACATAGTCCACAACTCATTGATCGCAAAATAAAACACTTTCCAGTTATATTAATTATTAAATTTTAACTAATAATTAATTTGTTAGTATTGCTATATTGCAATAAGTTAATTTTATTTCTTAAAGGCCCAGTTATACTATAAATACGGTTCTAAACAATAGAGATTATTTCCTTGGTTGTCACTGTAATAAACAACTCCAGCCAAGCTTCGGTAAAAGCATGTTTTCTTGAACTTACAGGTCGATTATGTCATGCCAAAGTGGATGTATGTGACTATGAATATCACAGCAGTGACTGTGTGTAGTATTTATGACAATAGTGTACGAGCTGAGATTTTGGCGGATAAAAGTAAAAAAACTCGAACCGGGGAAAGGGACGCGCTACTAATCTTGAATAATTAACTACTGTCAATCAAATTCACGTGATGTTGGACCGCTGAAACAGGATGCGTCATAGGCTATGCAAGTGATTAACAACACTCATTAGTATAGCCACACCTCAAATTCACACTTGCCCATGGCAAGTGAATTGGGCCTTTAAGCTTCACAAGAGCATGCTGGTAACCAGCGTATGCTAGGTGATATGACCAGTGCATGCTGGGTAATATGACCAGTGCATGCTGGGTAATAT